CCTCCCCATCCCCTCCCCCTCTCTCCCCATCCCTCCCCCTCTCTCCCCATCTTCTCCCCATCTCTCCCCACCTCTCCCCATCCCTCCCCATCCCTCCCCATCTCTCCCCATCCCTCCCCATCTCTCCCCACCTCTCCCCATATCTCCGTGCCCCTCGTCCTCCCGCGGTGCCCCACACAGCACCGCCTTCCCGCCCCGAGGCTGGCGCACGCACCTACGCAGGTGAGCGAGGCGCAGGCGGACGAGCTGGTGCAGTGGGAGGAGGCGCAGCGCTACCCGCTCGCGGCCGAGGCGGTGGGGGTGCACGTGATGGCGCGCGAGACGCAGCTGCGAGAGATCGTGGCGTCGTGCGAGGGCAGCCGGGCGTAGAAGCGGAGCATCTCCCCGTATCTCCCCAGATCTCCCCATATCTCCCCAGATCTCGTGCCTAGAAGCCGAGTGTACGCACCCTCCTCTTCCAACCAGCCGGCTGGACACGCATTCCGCCGCCGGCGGCCGAAGCCATCCGTAGCCATCCGCAGCTGTGTCGCCTGCAGTCACGCGGCGCTGTGAAGACACGGGCACGAGCCCCCGTCCTCCCGCGCTGAGGCTGGCGTGTTCCGCGCGCAGGCAGCTGGGGCGAGGCGGTGCCGCGGCTGTACTACCACGCGGACCGCGAGGTCGCGGTAGCGAGAGAGAGCTACACACTGATGAGTATAAGATAAGCTAGGCCGCGGCAGAGAGAGAGCTACACACTCTCGCACTCTTTCCTGTTCTGAATGTTCTTGTGATGAGTATGAGCTAGGTCGCGGCAGAGAGCTACACACTCTCGCACTCTCTCCTGTTCTGAATGTTCTTGTGATGAGTATGAGCTAGGTCGCGGCAGAGAGCGACACACTCTCGCACTCTCTCCTGTTCTGAATGTTCTTGTGATGGGTATGAGCTAGGTCGCGGCAGAGAGCTACACACTCTCGCACTCTCTCCTGTTCTGAATGTTCTTGTGATGGGTATGAGCTAGGTCGCGGCAGAGAGCGACACACTCTCGCACTCTCTCCTGTTCTGAATGTTCTTGTGATGGGTATGAGCTAGGTCGCGGCAGAGAGCTACACACTCTCGCACGGTCGGTGGGGCATCTCCGCCAACCTCGCCGCCGACGCGCTGCCCGGCGACCTCCCCGCGCGCGCCGGGGATGGAGTGGCCGCCGCCGCCACCGACACGCGCGGGCGAGCGAGGCGGCTGCATCGCAGCTCCTCTCCCCGTCTCTCCCCATCTCTCCCCATCTCTCCCCATCTCTCCCCATCTCCCCCCATCTCTCCCCATCTCTCCCCATCTCTCCCCATCTCTCCCCATCTCTCCCCATCTCTCCCCATCCCTCCCCATCTCTCCCCATCTCTCCCCACCTCTCCCCATCTCTCCCCATCTCTCCCCATCTCCCCATCTCTCCCCATCTCTCCCCATCTCCCCCCATCTCTCCCCATCTCTCCCCATCTCTCCCCATCTCTCCCCAGGCGGCTGCACCGCGTCGCGGCGCTCAACTTGCCGGAGCGGCCGTCGTCGCAAGGCGAGCACTGGACGATCTCGGCTGTACCTCGGCTGTACCTCGGCTGTACCTCGGCTGTACCTCGGCTGTACCTCGGCTGTACCTCGGCTGTACCTCGGCTGTACCTCGGCTGTACCTCGGCTGTACCTCGGCTGTACCTCGGCTGTACCTCGGCTGTACCTCGGCTGTACCTCGGTCATCTCTCGGTCCTACCTCGGCTGTCTTTCGCAAGGCGAGCACTGGACGATCTCGCACGACAAGGGCATGACGTGGAACACGTGGCTGCGCTTCAAGATGAAGGCCATCTTCGAGTTCTCCGTGCGCGCGCACTGGGCGGAGCTGCAGGAGACCGAGTGGTGCGCTCGCCAAAGACGGGCGACCAGGGAGCAGGCGTGAAGGGCGTCTCTTCACACCTCTGGCTGTGAACAGGTACGTGTACGTGGACGATGACACCTACGTCCTCTGGAAGCCGCTCCTGGAGCTGCTCCGCCGGCGCGAGCCGAGATGACTCGAGATGAGCCGAGATGGCCCGAGATGACTCGAGATGACTCGAGATGACCATAGATGGCCCGAGATGGCCCGAGATGGCCCGAGATGGCCCGAGATGGCCCCGAGATGGCCCCGAGATGGCCCGAGATGACTCGAGATGGCCCGAGATGGCCCGAGATGGCCCGAGATGGCCCGAGATGGCCCGAGATGGCTCGAGATGGCCCCAAGAGGGCCCGAGAGGGCCCTGAGAGGCGACCGAGGTTCACCGAGAGACAGCGCCGCACAGGTACGACTCGCGCGCGGCGCACTACTTTGGGCGGCCGCTGCACGAGGCGGGCTACCCGCTCTTTGTGGGCGGCGGCGCAGGCATCGTCCTCTCGCGCGCAGCGGCGCGCGGTGTGAAAGCGGCGCCTCTTCACACGTCCAGCTGTGTGAACAGGCATCGTCCTCTCGCGCGCAGCGGCGCGCCAGATCATCGCGCTCAAGGATGCGGAGGTCCGCGCGCCGCTCTCCCCTACCCCCACGGTACCCGAACCCACCATGGCCACCCTCCCCTACCCCCACGGTACCCGAACCCACTTAGGTCTGCGACCCGCTCTCGCTGAAGTGGGCGGAGAGAGTGCACTCTGGCGGCGATGCGTGGCTGGGCGACTGCGCCGAGAGCGCCGGCGCTGCTCTCGGCCATGGAGTGGCGGCCAGAGGAACGAGCGGAGGGAGGCCGCACCTGATCAGTGATAGGCGTGCACACCGACATGGAGTTCGGATTCTACCCGCAGCCTCCCGTCTCGAACCTCTTCCACCTCTTCGCCGACGCCGTCGCCTTCCACGGAGTGGAGAACCACGCGGCGATGCACTCGGCGCTGCGCGCCAACGGCACCGCCGCCGCCTTCGACCCTCGATGCGTGCCGGTCTTTGCCGACCACAAGTACTCGAGCCTGCCGCCCGCCATCATCGGCACCACACAGGGACACGTGATCACCGGCCGTATGGATGACTAGGTACTCCTGCCTGCCGCACTTCATCATCGGCACCACACAGGGACACGTGATCACCGGCCGTATGGATGACTAGGTACTCCTGCCTGCCGCACTTCATCATCGGCGGCGTGCCCAAGGCGGGCACCACCTCGCTGTACAAGTACCTGCTCGAGCACCCGGACGTGCTCCCCGCCGCCGACAAGGAGCGCACCTCCTGGGGCGACTTCTTCTCGCCCATATCTCGCCCATGTCTCCCCACATCTCCCCATAGGAGCTCACCTTCTGGGGCAACTTCTTCTCGCCCAAGCGGCGGCCGAGCCGCGACGGTCGGATCTCTTCCCCTCTCTCCCCATCTCTCCCCCTCTCTCCCCCTCTCTCCCCCTCTCTCCCCCTCTCTCCCCCTCTCTCCCCCTCTCTCCCCCTCTCTCCCCCTCTCTCCCCATCTCTCCCCATCTCTCCCCATCTCTCCCCATCTCTCCCCATCTCTCCCCCTCTCTCCCCATCTCTCCAGACGTGATGGGCGACTACCTCCCAAAGTTCCCAAAGATCTCGCCGAGCGACTTCAAGGTGACGGGCGAGGCGACGCCGGCTACCTCAGCTGTGAACAGCGTCTCTTCACACCTGCAGCCGTGAACAGGTGACGGGCGAGGCGACGCCGGGCTACCTCTACTGCCTCACCTGCCCCACCTACATCCTCAAGTACATGCCCAAGGCGCAAGCTCGGCGGCAGCTCGGCTGCACCTCGGCTGCACCTCGGCTGCACCTCGGCTGCACCTAGGCCGCACCTCGGCTGCACCTCGGCTGCACCTCGGCGGCACCTCGGCGGCACCTCGGCTGCAGCTCGGCGGCAGCTCGGCGGTAGCTCGGCTGCACCTCGGCTGCACCTCGGCTGCAGCTCGGCGGCACCTCGGCTGCACCTCGGCTGCACCTCGGCGGCACCTCGGCTGCACCTCGGCTGCACCTCGGCTGCACCTCGGCTGCACCTCGGCGGCACCTCGGCTACACCTCGGCTGCACCTCGGCGGCAGCTCGGCGGCAGCTCGGCTGCACCTCGGCTGCACCTCGGCCACACCTCGGCTACACCTCGGCTACACCTCGGCTGCACCTCGGCGGCAGCTCGGCGGCAGCTCGGCGGCAGCTCGGCTGCACCTCGGCCGCACCTCGGCTGCACCTCGGCTGCAGCTCGGCGGCTGCTCGGCTGCACCTCGGCTGTACCTCGGCTGTACCTCGGCTGTACCTCGGCTGCATCTCGGCTGTACCTCGGCTGTACCTCGGCTGCACCTCGGCTGCACCTCGGCTGCACCTCGGCTGCACCTCGGCCGCACCTCGGCTGCACCTCGGCTGCACCTCGGGCTGCGTCTGCTCTCACCGCGGCTGCGTCTGCTCCCAAAGGTGCGCCTCATCTTCACGCTGCGAGACCCGGTGCCTCGCGCCTACTCCGAGTACCTGAACAAGGCCGCCGACCGCACGGTCGTGCGCTACCTCAACAAGCGCATCGACAACAAGATGGAGAAGGAGCTCTCGGACGCCGCGCCGCCCTTCTCTGCGCTCGTCGCCGACGTGGCAAAGACGATGGCCTCCTGCGGCTCGCCCAACCGGACCTTTTCGATGATGGACGAGTACTCGGACGAGATGGAGGAGGCGGGCTGCTACGTCAACCCCTTCGTCGGCGAGGGGCGGTACGTGCGCTACCTCAAGCTCTGGCTGGGGATGGTGCCGCGCAGGCAGCTGCTCCTCCTCAACTTCGACGCGTGGACTGCCTCCGCCGAGGCGGCGCAGGAGGCGATGGGGCGCGTCGCCGCCTTCCTGCAGCTGGCGCCCTTCTCGTTTCGCGTCGACGAGGCGCACAACACGCACGCCAACCGGTCCCCACGGTACCCGCACCCATCCCCTACCCCCACGGTACCCGAACCCTAGGCGCACAACACGCACGCCAACCGGTCCGTCCACGTCGACCGCGACGCCGCCTCCGACGCGGACGCGATCAAGGGGCAGTCGGTCGAGGCGCAGCTGCCGCGCCGCGACCGCTGCGTCCTCCGCGACTTCTTCGCGCCCTACAACGCGGCGCTCGCCGGCCTGCTCGCGCAGCACGGGTACGAGCCGATGACCGAGGCGTGGGGCGCGAGCGCCGCCGCCGACTGCCCCGCCAAGAGCGGCTGGCGCTTCGCCGAGGAGCTTCCGGCGGCGCCGCACGCGACCGGCGCTGCGGCCGGTGGGGAGGAGGAGCGGAGGAGGTGCGGGACGGTCGACCACCCGTGCCTCGCCGGCTCAGACACGCAGGCCACGTAGGAGACCATAGTACACGGCACCTCGCGGGGCGTCCGCTTCCTTTCTGCCCCTACGGCTCTATTAAAACAAGGGGCCTCGCGCACATGTGTACGTATATCCAACAAGTGCGGAGTGCGGAGTCCAAGATCCGAAGATGGCTCATGCGTCATGGCATTTGGCATGGCGCCGAAGCTCGAAGATTCCTCAAGGTAAGGTAAGGTAAGGTAAGGTAAACGTCTCCACACACACAAAGTGGTGGGGCAAGGGGGGGCGACCCTCGCATCTCCACGCCCGGGACACGGGCAGGAGCCCCACGGCATTCAAAGTGCAAGCACCGGCCCGGTGCCGTGGGTGAGCACAAGATTCCTCAACACCTCACACGGTCACAGGGTGGAAGTGGGGCGAACCGGGTTGAAGTACGTGGACGCTCTCTCTCACCGATCCGCAGTTTTGATTCGGTTTGCATGACGGCTGCGGTGCGCGTCATGCCCTGACCCCCCCCCCTTTCAGATTCAGTCGGCCGGGCAGAAACTCTCCGCGCGCCGGACGAGCAGCGTGCCCCATTTCCCTCAGTCTGACGTCTTCCCGCGCCCCCCGCGTACCCACCCCTCGCGCCCACCTACTCCACGGCCGACGCGTCGCCCGCCCCCGTGGGACCGCCCTCCACGATGGCGGGCGCGAGCTGCTCGGCGGCGTCGAATCGAGAGAAGAGAAAGCGCGTCTCGTACGGCGACGCGACCTCGTACATGGCTGCCGAGCCCTCGATGGCGCCCTCTGCCTGCAATGTTACTGTGTGGTGGAGTGCCATACTGCGGGACCGCTGGTTATACAGTCATCAAGCGAGCCTGAGCCGTCGTCTTGAAGTGGCCCTCCGCGGGGTAGCCGTCCTTGGCACCGAAGCGGGGCGAGTTGGAGGAGAAGGTCTGGCCGAGAATGCCTAAACACACCGGACGGGTTCTAGTGCCAGCGGCTAGGGGAGGGGGCCGTCCTCTGCTCGACGTTGCCGTGCGGGAGCGAGCGAGCGGCGGCACCGCCCGCAGCGCTGATGCCGACGTCCAATCGGTGGCGAGGGCCGGAGATGCGGTCGTACACGTGGTTGCCTACAAGGCATAATGGCGACACCGCGTCGACGCTGTCGTGCCAAGGCCGGGGGCGACGCCGTCGTGCGCTCGGATGCCACGCAAGACAAAGGTCCAGCCGCGCACAGTGATGTTGGCGCTCGAGAAGTGCGACTGCACGAGGATGTCCTCGCACCGCCTCGTGAACCCGATGCCACCCTGGAAGGGCGTCCCGCCGCCGCAGGTGCCTCGCAAGTAGGAAAAGCCAGCGTTCTGCTCGGTGAGCTCGGAGGCGAGGTAGGAGACGTTGAAGAGCTTCTTGTGGGCGCCGGCGCACTTGGCCGGCGGCGCCTCGGGCGGGCACACGCCCGCGCCGGCGACGAGGTGCGCCTGAGAAGAATGGGGAGGGAGGGGTGGGGTCTCAACGGCAGAGGGCGGGGGGCCAAGTCTAGCGCGGCTGGCGCCTCGGTGATGAAGGAGCCGTCAACAGTGAGCCTGCCGTTGTGCAGGGTGAATGTGGCGTCTTCGGTCTTGACGTTGACGCTGATGCCGGGCGCGGAGAAAAAGTTGTAATAGGCGCCTACCGGAGAGGGGAAACCTGTCACGCCTCGCCTCTCGTGTCGCCGAAAGGAGGCGGGTGGGCGCCGTCGCGGCCGCGGAGGTCGGCCTCGCCGCCGTTCGGGAAGTGGAGGTGCGGGTCCTGGGTGGCGCCGCCGTACTGTCCCGGCCTGGTGTAGCAGATGGTCATTTTGTATGCGTCTGCAGCAGCTTCGTCCAGCAGTTCGATCGGGTGTAAAGGAGGCGGGTGGGCGCCGTCGCGGCCGCGGAGGTCGGCCTCGCCGCCGTTCGGGAAGTGGAGGTGCGGGTCCTGGGTGGCGCCGCCGTACTGTCCCGGCCTGGTGTAGCAGATGGTCATTTTGTATGCGTCTGCAGCAGCTTCGTCCAGCAGTTCGATCGGGTGTCCGTCACACATCAGAGGAGTGGTTCCGAATGACTTGCTACTCGAGTAATTGAAAGTGCTTTACGTGCAAGCATTCTCCCTCAATTGCACGCATTCTCCCTAACGTCACCCGCTAACGTTCACACGGTCGCCCCCTTGCCCCACCACTTCTTCTCCTCGTGTGTGGGGAGAAGTTTACCTTACTACCTCAAATTTCTTTCGCAGCACTTGGAGCACTTGGAGTGCAGTTGGCAACCTCACGCACCCAGCGCACCCAGGGCCGGGGAGCTAAGAAGAGACGCGCATCCAGCGGGACGGATGCTCGGGGTCGGGCTGCGGGCTAGAGAGCCCTGACCCTGGGGGGTGCGCGGTCGCAGGGCCATAACACACGTGGGATGGTATGTGCATAGGAAGGTGAAGAACAGCCAGGCTCGGACTGGACACCAACGCGGTATGGGTGGACGGCACGCTTTGTGTTGAGAGGCTTGTATTTTGAGAGAGAGAGATTTTTAGAAGCCAACAAGAAGAATTCTTTGACGGCGCCCGGGGAGGATTGGGAGGGGGAGGAGCGGCCGGAGGAGTACGCCGGCCTCTTTGACGACCCGTAAGGGGCCGTCGCCTGCTGTGCCATTTGTAGTCCGAGCCAGTCTGCTGTGACAGGAGTCCGAATTCTTTTCTTTGACCTAGCCGGCGCCTCGACTTGACGGCAAAGGCGTACCTGCCGGAGAAGGTGCGTATGTCCTCGGTCCTCCGGAGCCTCTCCGCCCTCCTGGCAACCCAGGTCATGGCGAATGAGCTCGCCTCCTTCTATGCCGACCACGCACGCCGCGCGCCTTGCTCTGTCGGTAAGGCCTCCCTGCTTGGCACCCGCGCCGGCGGCGTCACCATGAGGCTCGCGCTCGAGACGTGGGTCGGCGGCGGCACGCTTGCGATCGCGCTCGACGCCGCCGACCTCCGTGTCGCCAGCGCGTCCAGCGCTGCCGTCTCGCCCGAGGAGCCTCCTGAGAGGCTCGCGTCGGAGCCCGCGGCGGCGCCGGCGCAGCGGTCCGCGTTTCTGATCGTGCTCTCGCAGCTGGCGCCCGCGGACAAGACGCTGACGCTCCACCTCACGCCGACGGCGTCCGCGCCAGCAGCGGCCGCCGCCGCGTCCTCGGGCACCGCGCTTGCCGCCGCGCAGAGCCTCGCCGCTCAAGGCGTCTTCAACGCCCAGCAGAGTTGCTCGATCGCCTGCCGGGGCCGCGGCGTCGTGTGTGCGATTGCCGACGCGAGCGAGGCGGAGGGCGGCTCGCAGGGGGCGGTCGAGGCGCACTACTGCGGGCCGCGAGGCCTCTGCTGTTCCGAGGCGGACACCGCGACCTCTTCCTCTCGCTCTCCCTCTCTCTCCCTCCCTCTCTCTCCCTCCCTCTCCCCTGCCCGCCCGCCCTCCCTCCCTCCCTCCCTCCCTCCCTCCCTCCCTCCCTCCCTCCCTCCCTCCCTCTCCCCTGCCCGCCCTCCCTCACCGGCCCCTCCCCGCCGCTGCGCGCGGGACCAAGACCAAGCCCAGAGCCAGAGGCGACACACTGCGTACCCCCACGACCGGCGGCAGGTTCCTCCGAGCGCCTCCTCCTCCATGGCGGGCTCGGAGCGGGGCGGCGCCTCCTCGCCCGCCGGCTCTCC